AAAGCAAGGAAAGAATGAAGTCAGAGATTTATTGTAAATGAAAGTACACTACACAGTGTGGGAGTAGCCCTAGCATAGGAGCTCAAGGGCATCATTACAGAATTTGTGGGAGTTTAAATACCCTCTAGAGTAGGCGTCCCCAAACTACGGCCTGCGGGCCCGCATGCGGCCCCCTGAGGCCATTTATCCGGCACCCCCCCCACCACACTTGAGGAAGGGGCACCTCTTTCATTGGTGGTCAGTGAGAGGAGCACAGTATGTGGCAGCCCTCCAGCGGTCTGAGGGACAGTGAACTGGCCCCGTGTAAGAAGTTTGGGGACGCCTGCTCTAGAGGTTTCCATTGGTTACTTGGTATATACCCTATGTAAATGGAGAGGATGAATTAAAGGTACGAAGTCCTTTACTCGGTATGCAGAGGATATTTCCTGTCATAGCTGAAGTGTAAATTGGCCTTATTCCCTGCCTCCAGACCCTGTCACAAGAAAACAGGGTCTGGAGGCAGAGAACATAAGGCCAATTCACCCTTCAGCTATGACAGGAAACATCCTCTCTGTATTCACACTTCAGCTATGAAGTGTGACAAGAAAATAGGGTCTGGAGGCAGGGTACATTACTCTGTCACTGTACTCCAGCCTGAGTGACAGAATGAGACCTTGCATCCAAATAATGATAAAAATAATAATCTTTTATGTCTTCTCAGATCTCTTCTAAACCCTTTCCCACTGTTGGGTAGAAATAGCCCATCCCCCATATCCGAGGCCCACATCCAGCAGGCTGCCTCTGGAGGTTGGTCTGCCCAGCAACAGGACTAGCCAATCGCTTTCCCGTGTCAGCCCGCCAAAACCGGTACACTACCCGACAGCAGCCCGCCAAAACCTAGCCACAGGGCTCTTCCCTCTTCTTTGTTTAGCCTCCACCAATCATCTCCTCACTTTAGCCCGCCAAAGCTAAGCCAACCCTTGCACACCACGATATTCCCACTCCGCCCATGTCCAACCTCCACCAATCACTCCACGACACCCCCACCTACGCGCGCCACCCTCCCTATAAAAACTCTCCGCCAGCTGCTGGGTGCAGCTCTTCCCTCTCCCGCTCGAGTTGCCCGCAGATTCCAATAAACTTGGACTCGGCCCAACGGCTCCTCGGACTGAATTATTTTGGGAAGGGTCTCCGCAGGTCGCACACCCACCATCTTCTAAACCCTTTCCCTCATCAACGCTGGTTAAGTTTAGATGCTCACCTTTTTAATGGAATCTTATATTGCTTCCTTGCATCCCATAGGTCTAGGGTTGTTTAGTTGCTTCCCCACCTTTAAAAAAAAATTTTTTTTGAAACAGCGTCTTGCTCTGTTACCCAGGCTGGAGTACAGTCAAGCAATCATAGCTCACTTCAGCCTTGAACTCCTGGGCTTCAGTGATCCTCCTGCCTCAGCCTCCCAAGTAGTTAGGACTACCGGTTTGTGCTACCTTGTCCCACTGACATAAAATTTTTTTGTGGTAGGGATGGGGCATCTCACTATGTTGCACAGGCTGGTCTTGAATGCCTGGCCTCAAGTGATCCTCCCACCTCAGCCTCCCAAAGTACTGTTACAGGTGCAAGCTGCCATTCTTGACCCTGCCTCCCAGGTTCAAGCGATTCTCCCAGCCTCAGCCTCCTGAGGAACTGGGACTACAAGCTCGTGTCACAACACCTGGCTAATTTATTTTTTTTTTTTTATTTTTTTTTCATTTTTAGTAGAAATGGGGTTTCACTATGTTGGCCAGGCTGGTCTCAACCTTCTGACCTCATGACCTGCCCGCCTCGGTCTCCCAAAGTGCTGGGATTACAGACATGCACCACTGCACCCGGCCCAATATATGATCTTTTAATCAAATTTGGCCTGATACAGCCGCTTAATGCCTTTTGTCCCAGCACTTTGAGAGGCCACGGGAGGTGGATCAGTTGAGCTCAGGAGTGTAAAACCAGCCTGGGCAACATGGCAAAATCCTATCTTTACAAAAAATAAAAAAATAAGGCATGATGGTACACACCTGTAGTTGCAGCTACTCAGGAGGCTGAAGTGGGAGGCTTGAGAATGGGAGGTCAGTCAAGGCTGCAGTGAGCCATGTTCAAGTCACTGTACTCCAGCCTGGGTGACAAAGTGAGATCTTATCTCAAAAAAAATGAAATCTGATGTTTTAAACTACGTTCACGCCAGATAAATTGCCTTTATAAAAAACTTTAATATTCTTCTACGTTTTTCTGCCTTTGTTTTTGCTGCATAATTCTTTTTCCTTTTTTACTGAGATTCTTTCCATTGTCTTAAGATTTTTCGATTTTTTTTTTTAAATGAGGAATCAGGAATCTTTTTTTTTTTTTTTTTTTTTGTGATGTTGCCCAGACTGATCTTGAACTCCTCAACTTAAGCAGTCCTCCCACCTTGGCCTCTCAGTGTTGGGGTTGCAGATACCACACTCAGCCTTTTTTTTTAAAAGAGTCAGTCTCTCCATGTTGCTCAATCTGGAGTGCAGTGGCTATTCACAGGCATGATCATTATGGCTTATAACAGCCTTGAACTCCTGGCCTTCCTGAGTCTCCCAGGTAGCTGGGATTAATAGGCATTCTCCACTGCTTCTGGCTCCAGAAATCTTCATTTTAATGTAATATCTCAATTTTTTAATTTTGGCAACTGTTAATTTAGTTTAAAAAATGCTATCAAATTTGCAAAGTCATTTATAGAGGCTTCTTTGATCATTATTCTTTCCCCCTGCAAATTTAATTGCTCATTCTTTTTTTTTTTTTTTTTTTTTTTTGAGATGGAGTTTCGCTCTTGTTACCCAGGCTAGAATGCAATGGCGCGATCTCAGCTCACCGCAACCTCTGCCTCCTGGGTTCAAGCAATTCTTCTGCCTCAGCCTCCCGAGTAGCTGGGACTACAGGCGTGCACCACCATGCCTGGCTAATTTTTGTATTTTTAGTAGAGACAGGGTTTCACCATGTTGACCAGAATGGTCTCGATCTCTTGACCTCGTGATTCACCCGCCTCAGCCTCCCAAAGTGCTCGGATTATAGGCGTGAGCCACTGCGCCCGGCCCTAATTGCTCATTCTTTATGTATTTCCATGGTTAATACCCTACGGGGGTTTTAAACTAGCTTTTTAGATAATCTGTACTGGACAGAAAAAAATTATTTTACCCTCATAGTTTTCTGTAAGTTTACCTTTAAATTTATAAACTGCCTGGGCCTTAATCAATTGAAATTAGAAATCAGTTAGATGACCTCAGGTAAGCCTGTTACAAAATACTCTATCATGACATTAAAAGTTACACAATTGATGTCTTATGTCAGATTTTGAGTAATTCATTTGAAACATGCTAATTTTTATACTGTTAGTGGCCAACCTCTTTGTATTATCTTTTTTTTGAAATATTAATGTACAAGAGTTTCCAGAATAGGCCGGGCGCGGTGGCTCAAGCCTGTAATCCCAGCATTTTGGGAGGCCGAGGCGGGTGGATCACGAGGTCAGGAGATCGAGACTGTCCTGGTCAACATGGTGAAACCCCGTCTCTACTAAAAATACAAAAAAAAAAATTAGCTGGGCATGGTGGCACGTGCCTGTAATCCCAGCTACTCAGGAGGCTGAGGCAGGAGAATTGCCTGAATCCAGGAGGCGGAGGTTGTGGTGAGCCGAGATCGTGCCATTGCACTCCAGCCTGGGTAACAAGAGTGAAACTCCGTCTCAAAAAAAAAAAAAAAAAAAAATTAAAAATAAATAAAAAAAAAAGAGTTTCCAGAATAATAAACAGATTATATGGATCTGACTTGAGGCCAGGAGTTTGAGACCAGCCTGGCCAATATGGTAAAACCTCATCACTACTAAAAATACAAACAAACAAACAAACAAAACATTATTTAAATCTGTATTTTTGCCCTGTTCTCATTTAAGCACTGGTTCCATGTTGTCTGCGGTAGAGTTCTATTAGAACTTGGATCTAATGTGTTCATAGTATGTGTCCAGTAATAAGAAGTATAAGATATATGTAGAATAAATCAGTAGGAATACTATTTGCTTTAATAAGCTGGGTTTTGAAGTTTAAAGGCGTTTCAGATAGAAAAAGAAAAAACCAGGTAGAGTGACCTCCTTTGCTGGTTTAGGGCTCAAGTCTAGGCTGTGACCAGGTGTTTGTAACCAACCTCTGGCCTTCCCCGCCCCACTTTAATGCAACTGAAGTATTGCTCACACAGTTGTTTTCATAAAAACAGTTTGATCGTATTTCTTCTCTGTTTGAAAAATGTGAATTGCTTCATGTTGCCAACATACAGACTTCATTTTGCTTGGCATCGGAGTTCTTCAGTATCCCTCTGCCTCTTAGTTTCTGCAGCCATGTTTTCACACCTTACTGTTCTATGAAAATAGAGTCCTTTACTATTGCTGCCTGCTCCCCATTCACCATTCTCCTCACATGGTCAAATTAGATGCTCCTTTTCCTTCTGCTCTGTCTGGCCAAATGCTGTGATGCTGTGTTTTCTTTCAGACCTAACTTTCTTTTTCATTCCAACAATATGACCGTCTAGACCAGGTGTCCCCAAACTACAGTCCATTTATCCGCCCCCCCCCCACCCCCCCCGCCGCACTTCAGGAAGGGCATCTCTTTCATTGGTGGTCAGTGAGAGGAGCACAGTATGTGGCGGCCCTCCAGTGGTCTGAGGGACAGTGAACTGGCCCCCTGTGTAAAAAGTTTGGGGACGCCTGATCTAGAGCTTGCCTCTCTTTTTATCTCAGAGACGCCTGCTCTAGACTGTTGTAGTCCAGGAGGATCTCCTTGTCTTAGAGGTTTGCTTATATCTGTTCATACGGGTATACAGTCCTGTCATGTTCTGTGTGGTAAATTTGTGGGTGGCTTGTCTCTGTTTCACCTGGAAGACAGTAAACCACTTTTCAAACTTAGTGTCACATACAATGTTTTGTCTAGAATTTTAAAAAATCTGTCCCACAAGTCAATATGTTTTTGTATTTGTAGACCTGAAAAATGTCTGAAAATTCCAGTGACAGTGATTCATCTTGTGGTTGGACAGTCATCAATCATGAGGTATGATACTTAATAGTTTATATAAAGTAATTTGTAAAATTAATATTACCTGTGGTATAAACTGTGTTCTTTGAAGACCAGTCTTCTACATTTAAGCACGAAGTTCCAGTGGATTCCAGTGGACATTTTCCCAGTTATGTTAAACTTCACTGCTGAGAACTCTTCATGAGCCAGCATCTTCTACATTATTGTACATAGCTTTGAGACATTAGGGAAGTATTTATTGAGGGTTTATTAATGATCAGACCTCGTGCTTTACTTTCTTTCTTTTTTTTTGTTTTTGTTTTTGAGATGGTGTCTCTCTATGTTGCCCAGGCTGGAGTGCAGTGACATGATCTTGGCTCACTGCAACCTCCACCTTCCAAATTCAAGTGCTTCTCCTGCCTCGGCCTTCCTAGTAGCTGGGACTACATACAGGCGTGTGCCACCGCCCCTGGCTAATTTTTTTATTTTTAGAAGAGACAGGGTTAGCCAGGTGTTAGCCAGGATGGTCTTGATCTCCTGACCTTGTGATCCACGTGCCTCGGCCTCCCAAAGTGCTAGGATTACAGGTGTAAGCTACTGTACCCAGCCTTAACTTTCATATTCATATAATTTTGTCTTTTTTTTTTTTTTTGGAGACAGAGTCTCACTCTGTTGCCCAGGCTGGAGTATAGTGGTGTGATCTTGGCTCACTACAACCTCTGCCCCCTGGGTTCAAGCTGCCTCAGTCTCCCCAAGTAGCTGAAATTACAGGTATGTGCCACCACACCCAACTAATTTTTTGTAGTTTTACTAAGAGATGGGGTTTCATTGTGTTGGCCAGTCTAGTCTTGAACTCCTTGACCTGAAATGATCTGCCCACCTCAACCTCCCTAAGTGCTGAGATTACAGGCGTGAGCCACTGTGCACAGCCAATTTTGCCTTTTTTTTTTTCTTTTTTTTTTAAAGGGACGGGATCTTGCTGTATTGCCCAGGCTGGAGTGCAGTGGCTGTTCATGTGTGCAGTCATGGTGCAGTGTAGTCTTTAACTCCTTGGGCTCAAGCAGTCCTCCCACCTCAGCCTCCCAAGTAGCTGGGACTATAGGCACATGCCACCACACCCTGTTCTTATATAATTTTAAACGTTTTACTGTGGCATAGGTTGTTTTTATTCTCATTTTGTAGTTGAGAAAATTAAAGCTTAGAGAGGTTAAGTAATTTGGCCATGATTATGCAGCTAGAAAATAGATTTTGGATTTGAAGAGATCAGAAAGGAGAATGGAGAGCATGTGTTCCATTTACATTAGCAGAACTTGACATGAAAAAGGCCAGAACTCTAAAACAAAATGAATTTTATAATAAAAGATTGACATAGGCATAACAAGTGTACCTAACTTGTACGTTTTATTTTCTCACACCAGTAATATATGTTCACTATAGAAAAATGACAGTAAGGCCGGGCGCGGTGGCTCAAGCCTGTAATCCCAGCACTTTGGGAGGCCGAGGCGGGTGGATCACAAGGTCAAGAGATTGAGACCATCCTGGTCAACATGGTGAAACCCCGTCTCTACTAAAAATACAAAAATTAGCTGGGCATGGTGGCGCGTGCCTGTAATCCCAGCTACTCAGGAGGCTGAGGCAGGAGAATTGCCTGAACCCAGGAGGTGGAGGTTGCGGTGAGCCGAGATCGCGCCATTGCACTCCAGCCTGGGTAACAAGAGCAGAAACTCCGTCTCAAAAAGAAAAAGAAAAATGACAGTATACTGATAAACAGAAATATACTTATTCTAGTTTTTAATGGACTTATCTATAGTTTTCCCATTTGTTTTTAGGATATTGTAAACCTCACTTGATATTTTTTTCTTTTCTTTTCTTTTTTTCTTATTTCAGCGATTATCCCATGAACCGCACTTGTTTTCTTAACAAAAATTAAAATTTTTAACACAGGAGAAAATGCCAGATATAGGTGACAGGGGGATGGAGGCAGCAAACCACCTTGCCATGTATGTACCTATGCAACAATCCTGCAGGATCTGCACATGTACCCCAGAACCTAAAGTACATTAAGAAAAAAAAATTTTTTTTTTTTAAAACTATTACATTGATTAGTTAAGGTTCAGGTAGTTATGTTGTTTAGAAAACTTTAACAGAAAAAAAGAAGATTGCCTTTTCTGCATTGAAGTTTCAAAATTTAAAAGCAGCTATATCATTTGAGATTGAGATGATTCTTCTTTTTAAAATCTTCAGTGACTCTTCTATTTTTTTTTTTTTTATTTGAGATGGAATTTTGCTCTTGTTACCCAGGCTGGAGTGCAATGGCGTGATCTCGGCTCACCGCAGCCTCCGCCTCCTGGGTTCAGGCAATTCTCCTGTCTCAGCCTCCTGAGTAGCTGGGATTACAGGCACGCACCACCACGCCCAGCTAATTTTTTGTATTTTTTAGTAGAGACGGATTTCACCATGTTGACCAGGATGGTCTCGATCTCTTGACCTTGTGATCCACCCACCTCGGCCTCCCAAAGTGCTGGGGTTACAGGCTTGAGCCACCACACCCGGCCTGACTCTTCTATTTTTGTTTGTTTGTTTGTTTGTTTGTTTGTTTTTTGCAGTGAAAGTTCAGCTTTTTATTGAACACATTATAAAAGAGGTTTAGTCAAAAAGACCAAAGCCCATATTATCATCAGACTCCTTGGATTCTTCTTTCTTTGCTTCTACTTTCTTCTCCTCAGCTGGAGCAGCAGCAGTGGAGGGGGCAGGACCTCCTGCTGGTGCAGCACTAGCTGCTGGAGCAGGCCCACCAGCCCCTACATTGCAGATGAGGCTCCCAATGTTGACATTGGCCAGGGCCTTCGCAAACAAGCCAGGCCAAAAAGGTTCAACATTTACACCGGCTGCTTTAATGAGGGCATTGATCTTATCCTCCGTGACGGTCACCTCATCGTCATGCAGAATGAGGGCCGAGTAGATGCAGGCGAGCTTGGAGACGGAGGCCATGGTGCGGGTGAGTGTGGGGCTAGCGCTGCCGGACACAGTGCTAGTCGCTGGATGAAGTGAGGGCCTCACCCCAACGCGGCCTTAGCTTCCTCGGAAGGACCGAGCACCCTGGCGGCAGCTGAGGAAAGGGCGACTCTTCTATTTTTAACTCGTTTTCTTCAAAGGTTAGATCAACTCCCATAGCAACTTCTCCTTCAAGGATAATTAACAATAGAGGACCAAGGCAGCTATGGGAGTCTTACCTGTGAGTCTGCAGGGTGGAATATGACAGCAGACCCCTCTGGTGTTCTATATTAGACATTATGTCCCAGAGTAAATCATATTTTTACTTTTCTCTCTCTTTTTTTATATCTGCTTTCCAGGTTCTTCTCTTTCTTGCTATTGTCTCTTACATGTGTCTCCTTTTCCTTTCCCATTACCACCATTCTGATTTGGGCCAGAATTGGCTTTCCCAGCAATTCCTAATCCAACTCTAACCTTGCTTTAGCTTCTGCCATTATACTGTCACTATAGACAGCCTCAGAGTCTTACATTCAGAATTCTCTTTAGGGCTCATCTTAAATGATACTTTTTTCATGAATTCTTTAATTTTTGGCTGTTTTGAGTTATGTGTATCAAGAGAATGCAGACCTTTCGATTGTGTCAGCAGACTATAGTGGGGACATAGGGAGAGACAGAATCACCTTAGTGGTTAACTTTGTTTTGCTAATTATGACGCAAAGAAAAATTGTATGATCCACTATTATTAATGAAAAGATAGTCTGACATCAAAGTAGGAAAGATAATCTCAGAATAAAAAGGTAGTCTAAAATTGTATAAGGAGTGTATTCATTAACCTAATAGGTTTATTTAATCCGTGCTATTAAAGCTTTAAACATTTTAGTTTATATTGCCATAATACGTAGTTATTTGCACATGGCTCTTCTCTGAATATGTTGTAAATTTGAATTTTAGATTAGTTTTTTTTTTTTTTTTTTTTTTTTTGAGACAAAGTTTTGCTCTTGTCGCCCAGGCTAGAGTGCAGTAGTATACTCTTACTGCAAACTCCACCTCCCAAGTTCAAGTGATTCTCTGACCTCAGCTTCCTGAGTAGCTGGGATTACAGGTGCCTGTCACCATGCCCAGCTATGAATTTGAATTTTTTATACTCCACAACACCTAGTAAAGTGCCTTGTCTAGAGTAGTTCCATAAATGTTAAGTAGAAACAAATGGTTATGGAAGTAACTATATTTAGACCCTTTTTCTCTAGGATTCAAATTTACTGCTTGAGCTCATAAAATACAGCATTTCACTTTTGGGCTGACTTGACTTAGAATTTAAACGGAGACTCCATTCTGCAATTTTACTGCTGTAGCCCCTTGTGGAATAAAGTTTGTCAGACTGTTCTTTTGGAGTATAGCAGCATCTGAGACTTGTCTTATTTATTTATTTGTTTTTTGAGTTGGAGTCTTACTCTGTTGCCTAGGCTGGAGTGCAATGATGTGGTCTCAGCTCACTGCAACCTCTGCCTCCTGAGTTCAAGCAATTCTCCCGCCTCAGCCTCCCGAGTAGCTGGGATTACAGGCACCCGCCACTACTCTCAGCTAGTTTCTTTATTTTTTGTAAAGACAAGGTTTCACCGTGTTGGCCAGTCTGGTCTCGAACTCCTGACCTCGTGATCCACCTGCCTTGGCCTCCAAAAGTCCTGAGATTACAGGTGTGAACCAGTGCACCTGGCTGCATCTGAGACTTTTAATAATGGAAGAAGCATTTACACATAGTCAAAACTAGCTTTGAGTAGCTAACAGGCAAATAACTGAAAAATTGTCGCTTTTCCCTAGGGGTCCGATATAGAAATGGTAAATTCTGTGACAGCCACTGACAGCTGTGAGCCCACCCAAGAATGTTCATCTTTAGAGCAAGAGGAGCAGAGGGAGCAGGGAGGTAAGTATTTCACAAATTCTGATTAAAAAAAAAAAAAGGATATATGAATGATACTATGAACTTGCCTTCTTTCCAGGTGGGTGGCCTTTCTGGCTAATCTTTTATTGATTGATTGGTTGAGACCGACTTTCGGTCTTGTTGCCCAGGCTAGAGTGCAATGGCATGATCTTGGCTCACCACACCCTCTGCCTCCCAGTTCAGGTGATGCTCCTGCCTCAGCCTCCTGATTAGCTGGAATTACAGGCATGTGCCACCGTGCCCAGCTAATTTTGTCTTTTTAGTAAAGATGGGGTTTCTCCATGTTTGTCAGGCTGGTCTTGAACTCCCGACCTAAAGTGATCCACCCATCTTGGCCTCCCAAAGAGTTGGGATTGCAGTTGCAAGCCACTGCGCCTGGCCTCTTTCTGGCTAATCTAAGTGGTCATTGAAGGATTAAATTTCAGTGTGGGATGGGTACAGTGGCTCATGCCTGTAGTCCAGTACTTTGGGAGGCCGAAATGGGCAGATCTTTTGAGGTCAGGAGTTCAGGATCAGCCTGGCCAACATGGTGAAACACATCTCTGCTAAAAATACAAAAAATTAGCTGGGCGTGGTGGCAGGTACCTGTAATCCCAGCTACTCGAGGAGGCTGAGGCAGGAGAATCGATTGAACCTGGGAGGTGGGTTGCAGTGAGTCAAGATCGTGCCACTGCCCTCCAGCCTGGGTGACAAAGCAAGACTCCATTTCAAAAAAAAACAAAACAAAAAACAAAACTTCAGTGTGGATTTAGTGAAGGCCCATAGAACCCAGAGTCACCAGCCTACCTTAGGGGTTTGTTTATTTGCGGCTGTAATATATTTTTGGGCTTTCAGATACACTTTATTGCTACAGATGTACTAGTGACAAAATAAGTGTTTTGTGATTTAATGTGAATTTGTTTGTTAGTTTCTATTAACTTGTCATTTGTTTGGTAGTTTGTATTTACTTGTCATTATTAAAGTTAAGGAAAAAAAACTCTTTTATCACAAGAGATTTACTAATCTCTTCTCCAGTTATTATCATGTTACAGAGTTGCAGACATACCTCTCTCATTTTATTCTGCTTTGCTTTATTGTACTTCACAGATACTGCGAAATTTTTTACAAATTGAAAGTTTGTGGCAACCCTGTGTTTTAGCAAGTCTATTGATGCCATTTTTGCAACAGCGTGTGCTCGTTTCATGTCTCTGTCCCATTTTCGTTAATTGTAATATTTCATTTATTTTTATTTTATTTTTTTAATTTTTTTTATTATTATTTTTAAATTAGAGATGGGGTTTTACCGTGTTGGTCGGGCTGGTCTTGAACTCCTCATCTCAGATAATCTACCCGCCTGGACCTCCCAAAGTGCTGAGTTTACAGGCGTGAGCCACTGCGCCCGGCCTATTTTATTGAATTGATGGAGTTTTGCTCTTGTTGTTCAGGCTGGAGTGCAGTGGCATGATCTTGACTCACTGCAACCTCCACCTCCCAGGTTCAGGCGATTCTCCTGCCTCAGCATCCCAAGTAGCTGGCATTACAGGAATGCATAATGCACCCAGCTAATATTGTATTTTTAGTAGAGACGGGGTTTCACCAGATGGGTCAGGCTGGTCTCAAACTTCTGACCTCAAGTAATCCACCTGCGTTGGCCTCCCAAAGTGCTGGAATTACAGGCATGAACTACTCTGCCTGTCTGTAATTGTCAAACTTTTTCATTATTATTATTTCTGTTACCATGATCTGTAATCAGTGATTTTTGATGTTACTCTTGTAATTCCATTGACACCATGAACCATGCCTGTGAAAGACAGTGAACTTCTTAAATGTGTGTGTTCTGACTGCTCTACTCCCTCTCCCTCTTATTGGGCCTCCCTGTTCCTGGAAACACAGCAATATTGAAATCAGGCCAATTAATAACCCTACAGTTACCTCTAAGTGTTCAGGTGAAAGGAAGAGTTGCATGTCTCTCACTTCAAATCAAAAGCTACAAATGATTAAGCTTATTTGAGGAAGGCATGTCAAAAGCTAAGTTGAAAGCTGTGTGTCTTGGGCCAGAGAGTTAGCCAAGTTGTGATTGCAAAGGAAAAGTTCTGTAAGAAATTAAGTACTTCTTAGTGAACACATGAACGATAAGGAAGCCATATAGTCTTATTGTTGACATGGAGAAAGTTTAATGGTCTTGGTAGAAGATGGAACTCGCCATAAAATTCCCTTAAGCTACAGCCTAATCCAGAACAAAGTCCTTCCTAACTCTATTCAGGTCTATGAAGGCTGAGAGTGGTTAAGAAGCTGTAGGAAAAAAGGCTGAAGCTAGCTGAGATTGGTTCATGAGATTTAAGGAAAGCAGCTATGTCCATAACATAAAAGTGCAAGGTGAAGCAGCAAGTGCTAATGGAGAAGGTGCACCAAGTTATTTAGGATACCTACCTGAGATCATGGATGAAGATGGCTACACTGAACAGCAGATTTTCAATGTAGGTGAAACAGCCTTTTCTTGGAAGAAGATGCCATCTAAGACATTCCTAACTTGAGAGAAGTCAACATCTGGCTTCTAGGCTTCAAAGAACAAGCTCACTTTCTTGGTAGAGGCAAATGTAGCTGGTGACTTTAAGTTGAAGCCCGTGTTCACTTACCCTGCCTTAAGAAATCCTAGAGCCCTTAAAAAACATGTTTTATCAACTCTGCCTGTGCTCTGTAAATGGAATAACAAAGCCTAGGTGATAGCCATGTGTTTACAATATGGTTTACTGAATATTTTAAGCTCATTGTTGTGACCTGCTGTTCAGAATAAAAGTATTTCAAAATACTACCAAGTACACCTGGTCAGCCACCCACGGGCTCTGATGGAGATTTACAAGGAGGTTCATCTTGCTTTGTTTCCTGCTAACACAACATCCAGTCTGTAGCCCAAGGGTCAAAGAATAATTTTGACTTTCAGGTTGTATTATTTCATAAGTAAATTTTGTAAGGCTGTAGCTGCTATAGATAGTGATTGCTCTGATGGATCTGGGCAATGTGTGTAAGTTGAAAACCTTCAGGAAAGGATTCACCATTCTAGATGCCATTAAGAACAATTGTGATTTGTGGGAAAAGATCAAAATAGCAGCATTAACAGGAGTCGGGAAGAAGTTGATTTCAACCCTCATAACTTTGAGTGGTTCAAGACTTTAATGGAGGAAGGAACTGCAGATGTCTTAGAAGCAGCAAGAGAATTGGAATTAGAAGTGGAGCCTGAAAATGTGATCCAGTTGCTGTAATATCATGATAAACTTGAACAGATGAGGAGTTGCTTCTTATGGATGAGCAGAGAAAGTAGTTTCTTGAGATGTAATCTACTCTTGGTAAAGATGCTGTGAATATTGTTGAAATGACAACAAAGGATTTAGAATATTACATAAAACTTAGCTGATAAAGCAGTGGCAGGGTTTGAGAAGACTGACTGGTTTTGAAAGTTGTTCTGGGTGGGCAAAGTGCTATCAAACAGCACTGCATGCTACAGAGAAATCTTTCATGAAAGAAGAGTCAATCCATGTGGGAAATTTCAGTGTTGTCTTTAAGAAATTGCCCCAGCTACTCCAGCCTTTAGCAGCTATCACAGTGGTCAGTCAGCAGCCATCACCTTTGACAAAAATACTGCAATTCACTGAAGGCTCAGATGATTGTTAGCACTTTTTAGCAATAATGTATTTTTAAATTAATATATGTATGGTTTTTTAGACATAATTTTACACATTTAATAGATTATAGTATAGTATAAACATAACTTTTACATGCACAGGGAGACCAAAAAATTTGTGTGACTTGCTTTACTGTATTGGTTTGGAATGGAACTTGGAATATCTCTCAGATACGCATGTATTCTTGTTCCAGTTTGGTAAAATGGAATTTGACTACTGTATTGCATCTGTGTTATGTATACTTCCCATGGGATTTGATTTCATTTACTTTTTTAAAAAAAATTGCAGTAAAATGCATATAGAATATTTACCCCTCAGGAGAATAAAGTGGATGTGTCAGGGCAAGAAATAGAAGAGATTGTACCTGTTAACTTTTTTGAGCATATGTATTGATTACTACTCTAATTTGAAAAGTAATTTTCTTAAAAAAAAAAAGGAAAAAAAAATTCAAGGAAGAGATGTTAAAAAATAAAAAGGTGATTCTCATCTTTTTTGTGTCAGAAATCCTTTTGAGAATCTGAAAGCCATGGACAATTTCTTCCAAGATATGCATTTATTTGCATATGTTGAAGAACAGTTTCTATGCTTCTTTGAGAGTCCTTGGACACGAGCCAAGTGCTGTGGAGCAATCATAACTCTAAATTAAATTACTTTTCTATTAGGAGCTATTTAACATTGAAAAGTGTTTTTTTTTTCCGCTTGTTCTTTGCGGGAGTTAAATTATGTAAGAAATGCATGTTCATGATAGGGAAAAAAATAATAGTAAGCAAAATCAATTTAAAATGGCCTGTAATTTTTTTTATCTAGAAATAACGTCTCTTGATATTTGGTATACTTTGCTCATAAATTTATATTTAATTTTTTAACTTAATATTTTATGCTCTTTTTAATTAAAAATATATTGTGAATTCATCATTTTGTTTGTACACATTTTCTTTGAGGAGATTCTTATATCTCCCATAGTGACATTTAGTTTTTCTGTGTTTTGAGTTCTTTCTTTAAAAAAAAAAAAAAAAAAATTGGCAGAAATGGTCTCACTGTGTTGCCCAGGTTGGTCTTGAACTCCTGGCCTTAAGTGACTTTACCACAATGGCCTACCAAAGTGCTGGGACTTTGAGCATGAGCCACTGTGCCCGGACTTCGTCTCTCCAACTTTTTGTTGAGACATGGTCACACTCTCTTGCCCAGGCTGGAGTACAGTGGCGTGTACATGGCTCACTACAGCCTCAACTCCTAGTAATCCTCCTGCCTCAGCCTTCTGAGTAGCTGAGACTCTAGGCATATACCACCATACCCAAATAATTTTTTAATTTTTATTTTTGTAGAGACAGGGTCTTGCTATACTGCCCGGGCTGGTCTTGAACTTGTAGACTCAAGCAATCCTCCAGCATTGGCCTCCCAAAAGTGCTAGGGTTACAAGTGTGAGTCACTGCACCCAGGCTGAGTCCTTATTTTTTATAGTTTGTTTTCTTGTAAAGCACTTACACACACAAACACACACATATATGTACATATATATTTTTATAAATCATAGTTTGAAGCCATAGTTTTTATTCTTATGGTACCAGGCATTGACAGCCATTAGAATGGTCTTTAGGAACTTTGAATGAACTTCTAAGAATTCAGGAAGGCCGGGCGCGGTGGCTCAAGCCTGTAATCCCAGCACTTTGGGAGGCCGAGGCGGGTGGATCACGAGGTTGAGAGATCGAGACCATCCTGGTCAACATGGTGAAACCCCGTCTCTACTAAAAATACAAAAAACTAGCTGGGCGTGGTGGCGCGTGCCTGTAATCCCAGCTACTCAGGAGGCTGAGGCAGGAGAATTGCCTGAGCCCAGGAGGCGGAGGTTGCGGTGAGCCGAGATCGCGCCATTGCACTCCAGCCTGGGTAACAAGAGCGAAACTCCATCTCAAAAAAAAAAAAAAAAAAAAGAATTCAGGAAAATAAGGCTGGGCATGGTGGCTAATGCCTGTAATCCCAGCACTTTGGGAGGCAGAGGCAGGAGGATCACTTGAGGTCGGGAGTCAAGACCAGCTTGGCCAACATGGCGAAACCCCATCTTTACAAAGTACAAAAATAAATTAGGCTGGTGTGGTGGTGGGCACCTGTAATCCCAGATGGTTGGGAAGCTGAGGTGGGAGAATTGCTTAAACCCAGGAGCAGAAGTTGCAGTGAGCTGAGATCATGCCTCTGTACCCCAGCCTGGGTGATGGAGTGAGACTCCTTCTGACTTAAAAAAAAAAAAAAAAAAAAAAGAATTCGGCTGGGCACGGTGGCTCACGCCTGTAATCCCAGCACTTTGGGGGGCCGAGGTGGGCGGATCACCTGAGGTCAGAAATTTGAGACCAGTCTGGCCAACATGGTGAAACCCTGTCTCTATAAAAATAATTAATTAATTAATTAAAAAAAAAGAATTTAGGAAATATATCACTAGGTATCTGATGATAGATTTTTCATTATTATTGGGTATTAACAAACACACTGGATCAAGTAATTTGGTAATGTTAGGTAGAGATTTTATTTACCTAGTCAAGGTAGCTTTAATTTGAGTTCTTAATAAAGCTTGTGGCTAGGCACGGTGGCTCATGCCTGTAATCCTATCACTTTGGGGGGCCAAGGTGGATCACTTGAGGTCAGGAGTTCGAGACCAGATTGGGCAAAATGGCGAAACCCCATCTCTGCTAAAAATAAAAACAATTAGCTGTAGCATATGCCTGTAATCCCAGTTACTTGGAAGCCTGAAGCAAGAGAATTGCTTGAATCCAGGAGGCAGAGGTTGCAGTGAGCCGAGATAGTACCACTGCACTCCAACCTGGATTACAGAGCAAGACTCCATCTCCAAAAAAAAACCAAAAACCTTGAATGCTTTCATTTTCATATCTAAAATTATCCTCTGACAATTTTCAAATAAATGAAATTTATTTTAGAAACAGTGGAGTGACTTTTCTATATATAACAGTGGAGTATATGATATTTCATTAAATCTATTTTAACATATTAGGAATAGATTTTTATCTACCCAGATTATATGTTGGCTACAGAAAGTCAACAGAGAGTTTTAAATGAAGAAATAATTATATTGATCTTTGCTTTATATCAGAAAGCAGCCAAAATGGCACAGTGTTTATGGAAGAAACTGCTTATCCAGCTTTGGAGGAAACCAGCTCAACAGTTGAGGTAAACGTGTATTTTACTCTGTAGATATTTGTCAAATAGTATTCTTAGAATACTAAATAAAGCTTCTAATTCTGTTTATGCATTCTATTCCTGTTTTGAATTGTAAGCAGCTTTAACTTCTGATTAAGTTAGATGTCTTAGAAGACATCTAAGTAATTTCTTGGTATTGTGTTAAAAATCTATCTTTTCACCTCTAATACAATTTTCTTTGGAAGTAGATTGCATTCTTGAATTGTATTAAAATATTAACCTTAGGTTTCACGTCTAAAATGGTGGTTTGTTTTAAAATTACTTGACAACCTAAGACTTGTCCTTTGGACTTTTACTTGACTTCTGTATAAAACTAGATAGCTAGATCTTTTTACATGGTGTCTTAATGTATTTGTACTGCTATGACAACATACCGGAGACTGGGTGATTTACAAAGAACAGGGCTAAGCGCGGGGACTCACGCCTGTAATCCCAGCACTTTGGGAGGCCAAGGCGGGTGGACCACGAGGTCAGGAGTTTGAAACCAGCCTGACCAACATGGTGAAACCCTGTCTCTAAAAAATAAAAACAAAAAAATTAGCTGGGCAGAGTGTTGTGCACCTGTAGTCCCAGCTATTTGGGAGGCTGAGGCAAGGAGAATTGCTTGAACCCAGGAAGCAGAGGTTGCAATGGGCCAAGATTGTACCACTGCATTCGAGCCTGGGTGACAGAGTAAGACTCCATCTCAAAACAAACAAACAAAAAAAACCCAGAAATTATTTCTCATAGTTAGAGGCTGGGAAGTAAGTCTAAGAACAAAGTGTGGACAAGTTCAGTGTCTGCTGATGGCCTGGTTTCTTGTTTGCAAATGGCATCTTGTTGCTACATTCTTAAGAGGGAATAAGTGAAAAAGGCTGGATGCTGCAGGAAGCCTGTTTTATAAAGACCTTTATCGTATTCCCAGGGGAGGATCCCTTATGACTCAGTCACCTCTTAAAGGTCCCACCTACTTAGTACTATCACATTGGCCATTACCTTTCAACATAAGAACTTTTGAGGACACCTTCAGTACAAGTTACAGTGTTGAAGTTTATTATATACATAACTAGAAAAGTTTAATGAGTCTATTTTGGGCTCCCACACTACAGAGTTGTGCTTGAATAGACCCATGGAACTCATGAGAGAAATAAACTCTTCTTTCTGTGGTTATTTTTTTTATTATTTTTTTTTTTTTGAGATGGAGTTTTGCTCTTGTTACCCAGGCCGGAGTGCAATGGCACGATCTCAGCTCACTGCACCCTCCACCTCCTGGGCTCATGCAATTCTCCTGCCTCAGCCTCCTGAGTAGCTGGGATTACAGGCACGCACCACCATGCCCAGCTAATTTTTTGTATTTTTAGTAGAGACGGGGTTTCACCATGTTGACAGGATGGTCTCGATCTCTTGACCTTGTGATCCACCCGCCTCGGCCTCCCAAAGTGCTGGGATTACAGGCGTGAGCCACCGCACCCGGCCTTTCTGTGGTTATTGAAGAGCAAAGGTGGGCTTAACTTCTGCAGCCCAAAAGGCAGTGGTCTGGTCTAATTCTGAGAGTTGTCAAGGGATCTGATGGTGTTTTCAAGCTCTATGATGAGCCTACTATTGCATAATTCTTTAAATGGTAGGAATAATATCTTTTATTTTAACCTCAAATTACTGTAATACTTAGTACTGTTGTATTCTAAGAAAATACAAGGTCCTTAAATAATTGTTGAATTTACTGTCTCTAAAATCATGATTCCTTTAGGCAGAGGAAGAAAAGATAGCTGAAGACAGTATCTATATTGGGACTGCCAGTGATGATTCTGATATTGTTACCCTTGAGCCACCTAAGTTAGAAGAAATTGGAAGTCAAGAAGTTATCACTGTTGAAGAAGCACAGAGTTCAGAAGACTTTAACATGGGCTCTTCCTCTAGCAGCCAGTATGCATTCTGTCAGCCAGAAACTGGTAAGAATGCACCCATAAGAGACTTAAATACGTGTATGACCACATTTTATATAAGGGGTTGTTTTTTACCTCTAATAATTTAGTCTCTAGTTTTGAACATGTTTAGGTAAAATGCAAGACAAGACTATTTTTTGTGTGTGAAATCTATTAATACCTAGTGTTTTCCTAGACTGTTCTGGAGTGTAGCAATCTTTTGCTCAAACAGTAACCATCTTTTGCTATTGAATAGAAGACAAAATTTCTTCAGTGAGATTCGTTAAAATCACAAATGCTCCACAATTCTTTTGGTGCTTTTTAGATCTTTAACAGTGGGAGATTGGAGATATTAATATTTTTGCTTGCAGTAGTATACGTTTTATATTATAGAAATAGTGAAAGAAAATTCTTATTAAAGTCTCTTCAGATACATTCAGTATTAATTGTGCAACAGTCATTTATTGAGTACCTACCATATGCCAACAAGAGTTCAAGGTGCTGTCCAAACAGCTAGTCTCCCGAAGCTGCTGACCTTCAGAGCTTTTGTTTTCAATTCTGTTATGAAAATGCCACTATTATAAGTCACATTTTTAATGCAATCAATGCCTATTGACAGAATCATTCAGAGATTAAAGTGAGAGTTACTTATTTTCTTTCTACTATGCTTCATTCAGTTTTAGCAGTGTGTATAACTTCTTTCAATGTCATAAAATACGTAGATAAAAAGTTCCCGGCAAATTCTATGAGACACAGACCTGTAATTCACTGTTATTGACCCAGAATTATAACTAATAATTATCAATAGTTATAGCAGAGACAACTTGGAACAGTGCTAGTGATTCTAAAAATTTATTTTAATGATCCTAATCTGACAGAAAAACAGGAAACATGTAGACTCTATTTTAGATAATTTTCTTTGGTTTTACTATTCTTTAATACTTACATTTCTCAACCAGAATCGGACGATAAAATTTTGTCATTCCAGTTTAATAAAATGTGAAGTAGAGATTCTTGGCTGGGCGTGGTGGGTCACGCCAGTAATTCTAGCACTTTGTGAGGCCGAGGCAGGTGGATTACCAAAACCCAGGAGTTCGAGACCAGTCTGGGCAGCATATAGCAAGACCTGATCTCTACAAATAATAAAAAAAGCCAGGCGTGATGGCGTGCACCTGTGGTCCCAGCCACTTGGGAGGCTGAGGTGGGAGGAGGTTGAGGCTAAGAGTGAAGCTGAGATTGTGCCACTCCACTCCAGCCTGGGCGACAGAGCAAGACCCTGGCTCAAAAATACAAAAAAACAGAGATTCTTGGCTGTCTCATTTAATGAGAAGTTATTTTCAGTTAGTGTATCAGTAGTTTGCCTATAAACATGAACTTGAAAACACTTTGTCCAGCTATTTAAATATTCATCTGATATTCTTGGTAGTCAGAGGAAAACTTCAGCCTTTTTTAGAATAGTATTCATGGTATAATTATTTATGGAGGGGTATTATAACTGATTTTAGAATCATTGTTGCTTGTCAAAGTTTATTATTTTTTTAAACTCTAGGATTTGTGTTGGATTCAGATAGTCTTTCTTTTTTTCCCTCCCTTCCTTTCTTACCTCTGGTTTAATTTGAGAATATTAATGGTCCAGAAAAGTCAAATTTAAGCCGGAGTATTGCAGAATGGTCAGATATTTAAGAAACTGACGTAGACATAAATGAAATTACTTATTGTTGCCAGGCTTGTTGGCTCACACTTATAATCCCAGTACCATCTCAAAAAAAGAAATAAATAAATTACATGTTGTTAACTTTTTTTCAGGAAGTTGCATACTTCTAAGCTCATTCTTCTAATATTTATCTCCTTTCTGAATTCTGACTTCTTGGGAATTTTGTAGACTGGGTTAAGAGGAATATTTGATTAAGTTTGTTTTTACTCATTGTTATTTCTCCTAAAGATACTGTTTCAGGCTGGGTGTGGTGGCTCACGCCTGTAATCTCAGCACTTTGGGAGGCTGAGGTGGGCGGATCACAAGGTCAGGAGTTCAAGACCAGCTTGACCAAATGGTGAAACCCCATCTCTAAAAAAATTTTTTTAAAACACTGAAATTTTGGGCTACACCGAAAACACTACATATAAACCAGTTGCTAAGAGTTTTTGTTTTTGAGCCAGGCACATTGGCTTATGCCTATAATCCCAGCAGTTTGGGAGGCAAAGGTGGGTGGATAACCTGTGATCAGGAGCTGGAGACCAGCCTGACAAACATGGCAAAACCCATGTTAGCCAGGTGCTGGATTAGCTGGCTGTAGTGGTGTGGGCCTGTAATTCCAGCTGCTCTGGAGGCTGAGGCAGGAGAAACTCTTGAACCCAGGAGGCGGAGGTTGCAGTGAGCCAAGATTGCATCACTGTACTCCAGCCTAAGTGACAGAGTGAGACTCCGTCTTTAAAAAAAAAAAGAGTTTTTGTTTTTCCCTTTAGATTTGTTAATTTTGTGCTAGCCGTTGCTTAGTTATTTGTTTTTTCCTTTCCCTTTTTTCTTCATCCTTAAGGATTTCAACTTAAAATTTTTCTTTTACTAACTTATATTCTTGTGGCAGTGTACGTTTTGTTGGTTTAAGAACATTCCCCACTTCCTCTGTGTGAACTCTCTTCCCTGACAAAAAGCAGAGTTGGTAGTGTAGAGAAGTTTGTATTGTGTATGTTTTTAAGAAGGCATGGTTATTACATTTTAATTTAGTACAGATAACAATGTTAAGTGAAAATTATTTTTAATTCTTTTTTTCCTTTTTAGTCTTTATAATAAAGCTTTATACATCTTTTTTTCCTGTTTATTCACAAAAGAAAGGTGGTGGGAGAAGCTGTGGAAGATTCCTGAATGCATATGGGGATGGGATGATCAGCTGAAACACCATGTTCCCAGCCAGCTCGCTTTCCAAGGTCGTGTGACTAAATTGGACCAGCTTCTCTAGAGCTGAGTGTGCCTAGTCACATTTACTATTTACTGAGTGCTTTAAAGATACCTGTTGTCATCTGCAATACTCTAGACAGGTGTTCAGAGTCTCTGGCAAAGGAGCTGGCCAAGCTTATTGCATGCCTTTGCATTGCTTGCATCTATGGGCCAAATTAAGCTTTTTAAAAAGAAATTAAAAATCAAAATATTTCAGTTATTATATATGTGGGTTAAAAAGATGGAAGCATTAGGCCGGGCGCGGTGGCTCAAGCCTGTAATCCCAGCACTTTGGGAGGCCGAGACGGGTGGATCACGAGGTCGAGAGATCGAGACCATCCTGGTCAACAAGGTGAAACCCCGTCTCTACTAAAAATACAAAAAATTAGCTGGGCATGGTGGCGCGTGCCTGTAATCCCAGTTACTCAGGAGGCTGAGGCAGAAGAATTGCCTGAACCCCGGAGGCGGAGGTTGCGGTGAGCCGAGATCGCACCATTGCGCTCCAGCCTGGGTAATAAGAGCGAAATTCCGTCTCAAAAAAAAAAAAAAAAAAAAAAAAAAAAAAAAGATGGAAGCATTAGATAAAGATGTGAATATATTAATATGGGTTAGGCTGCTTTGTCAGAATATGTAATGAAGACAGTATGCTAATGTAGAATTGAACATTTATTTAAAGAAGTTTTATAAATGATTTGTTTTCATATTTACCTGTCTTACTTTTATGTCAGAAAGCCTGACTTAAATACTCTAATCATGATCATGAATGCCCTTGTATTATGTAATGAATGCTTTAAGTCTTCCTTTCTTTCTCTTTGTCCAAGAAATGTAACCTCACACCTGAGGCGACGGCGTCTTTGAAACACTAGTGATCAAGAATAACCAGATAAACATGATGGGCATAAGGGTCATGACCAAAAAGATCTCTCAGTGGCATCTGTATCCCTAAATATTAGGAATATTCATTCATTTTCAGTAGTGCCTTCTGTGTTTGTGTTTATTGTTGTAAGCGTGAAAGTGAACTGTTACGATCCCTCTCTGAAAAATACTGCCTAACCTAAATCACCAGCTTTCCTGTGGCATGGATATCCTGTCTTCTGAAGAACTGTTTTTGCTTTTCTGGAGCATGAATATTTGTTGTTTTAGAGCTCTTTATATTCAAGTTCATATTTTATCTTTACTTTGAGTGCTTTTCCTCTAAGTGGCTCATGGAAATTATTTCTGAGTTATCAAAGCTTCTTTGTCAACATATAGTTTGTTGATATATGGAATAGTGTTAAGAAGTTATGCACTTGGAAAAAAAAGGTGATTTTTTTCCAGGGAATATATTTCCTGGACTTGGGATTTCTTGTTCAAATTTTCCCCACCAATTTATTTTTTCTCTACTATTCTTTTCACAAAGGAGCAGCACCAGAATAGTCCTTTATATTGGAGATAGCTGTTGTGTCACTTCCTCATGCTGACATATTTACTAGAGGGTAAAATTAATAACCTTCTAGTAAGAGTGGCAGTCGAAGGGAAGGGCTCATCTGACTTCTGGAATCCTGTGTTGAAATAGAGTGCTTTGAACCTTGATCATGGGATAATTAGATTGGAAATGAAACTAGAGGAACAGATATACCCAAGGAAGCTTTTGGTAGTTACTGTACTTTGTAAGTCACAGGAAATGCTTGTGTACTTTCCTGTGTTTCTTAAACAGTTGCAGTTAAATTACCTCTTTGAAATTGAATGAAGAGACAGAGTAGTTATTTTCTTTCCAGAAATAGTACTTGTGTATAACTCTAATAGCAAAGAAATTTTTTTGTTTGAGACAGTCTTGCTCTGTTGCCCAGGCTTGAGTACAGTGGCAGGATCTTGGCGCACTGGAACCCTCAGTGTGGCACCTCCTGGGTTCAAGTGACTCTCCTGTCTCAGCCTCCCAAGTAGCTGGGACTATAGGTGGACCACCACGCCTGGCTAATTTTTCTGTTTTTAGTAGAGATGCGGTTTCGCCATTTTGGCCAGCCTGGTTTCAAACTCCTGAGCTCAGGTGATCCACCTGCCTTGGCCTCCCAAAGTGCTGGAATTAAAGGCGTGAGCCACCATTCCTGGCCAGCAGTGAAACTTGAGGACAATAAGATTGAAGGATTGTTCTAATAGAGTAGACCATAAAGTGAGGCGGGTTAAAAAAAAAGAAAACAGAAAGAGATGGGCCCTCAAAGCGCAGAATAATACGATCAACAGATACTAGTGTATCACATTTGAAATGCTTTATGTTTTGGCTTTATGTTGATAAGTTGAAAACCCGTGTTTTTGTTTGTTGTTTGGTTTTTGCTTTGGCTATCTCATGTAAAAAGGCATGTAGGGGATGGCATTGATTATTCTAAATCGTTTTTACTGGGAACGCTTTTCCAAGATTTGAATAGCTAAATGTCAACTTTTTTCTTAATAGTATTTTCATCTCAGCCTAGTGACGATGAATCAAGTAGTGATGAAACCAGTAATCAGCCGAGTCCTGCCTTTAGACGACGCCGTGCTAGGAAGAAGACTGCTTCTACTTCAGAATCTGAAGAACGGCCGCTTGCTGAACAAGAAACCGAACCTTCTAAGGAGTTGAGTAAACGTCAGTTCAGTAGTGGTCTCAATAAGTGTGTTATACTTGCTTTGGTGATTGCAATCAGCATGGGATTTGGACATTTCTATGGTAAGTATTTGAAAATGTGTTATACATAACCTGATGGGATAGTGTAGAGGCACTTAAGAGTGAGGAATCCTGGGCAGGGTGTGGTGGTGCATACCTGTAATCTCAGCTCTTTGGGAGGCTGAGACGGGCAAATCACTTGAGTGAGGTTAAGAGTTGGAGACCAGCCTGGCCAACCCCGTCTGTACTAAAAATACAAAAGTTAGCCTGGTGTGGTGGTGCACGCCTGTAATCCCAACTTCTCTGGAGGCTCAGGTAGGAGAATTGCTTGAACTTGGAAGGCAGAGGTTGCAGTGAGCTGAGATCGCATTACACTCTAGCCTGGGCGACAGAGTGAAACTGTCTCAAAAAAATAAATAAATAAATAAAAGTCGGGGCGAGGGTGAATCCTTGGCTCTGTTTTCAGTGCCATTATTAAGTGTATGGCCTTGAAAACTTGAAGCCTTTTTGAACCTCAGTTTTCTCATTCTAGAAGTGGGTGCTGCCTGTCTCACAAAACTTTTTATTTAAATAAGATAGTAATGGCAGGGTGCAGTGGCTCACGCCTGTAATCCCAGCATTTTCAGAGGCCAGGGTGGGTGGATCACTTGACCAACCTGACCAGTATGGAGAAACTCCATCTCTACTAAAAAAAAAAAAAAAAAAAAAAATTAGTTGGCCGTGGCCTGTGGTCCCAGCTACTTGGGAGGCTGAGGTGGAAGAATCGCTTGAACCCAGGAGGCGGAGGTTGCAGTGAGCTGAGATTGTGCCACTGCACTCCAGCCTGGCGACAGAGCAAGACTCC